TATGTACCAAATTTGGTCCAGGGAATGACAGTAGCAAAATTATAGTTATGAAGTAGCAATGAAAATAATTTTATGGTTGGGGGTCAGCACAACATGAGGAACTGTATTAAGGGGTCATGGCATAAGGAAGGTTGAAAACACCGTTCTACACTGTCCTTAGATCCAAGGATATGGTGCCGGTCATTTGCTTTGAACTGCCATATAATCTGGGATGAGCAGATATTCTGGCATCAGATCCTGAGATATAAGGACAGCATAGAAGGGGCCTCAGGCATTCCAAGAGCTGAACTTCAGAAAACTAACTTCTCCATTCTCAATTATTCAAAACCTAGAAATCAAAGCTATCCAAACTGTGTGTCATGACATGTTACTGTTTCGGCTGCAGTGTGTAGGTGTCACACAAACATAACAACAAATTTCTGAGTCTATGGAACTCATCACATTGAGATCCAAAAGGCAGGCAATAGCAGAGGGATTCACCAAGCAGTGTGGCAAATCCGGTGGGTAGCTGGAAAAACTGTCACCACGCTCCCCACATCACCCACATCAGCACTTTCCTCGGTTTAACTCTGCGCTGACCCCGTTCTTGTAAATGGGCAGTGTCCTAGGCAGGGGCGGCTCAACCCATTACGCAAAGTAAGCATTTGCAGTATAGTTGATTTTGCCCAGGGGCGCTCTTGAGGCGCTCTTGGGGGAAAATAGACCTTGACATATGCGAGTTGTAGTTACTGGGATGTATAGTTCACCTACAATCAAAGAGAATTCTGAACTCCACCAATGATGGAATTGAACCAAATATGGCACACAGAACTCCCACGACGAACAGAAAATATATATCAGTGATTGGTTGGGGTGTGTGTGCCAAAATACTGTTTGCTTACCATTGAAAATTACCTAGGGCCGCCTCTGGGCCTAGGATGAATTCAGAACACTAGGAGGATGGAGCCCCGCTGGAAGTAGCTCTGCAACATGTCTCCATCCTCCCAACATCCTGAAAGCATCTTAGGACATTGAAAAAAATAGGTTTAACCTCTAGTTTGTTAGTAAAACTGAATTACTATGTCATGAAATGATGCATGACGAAAGTGTCACCAAACATTTCCATGAAATGTTCAAAAAACTCTGGTCTAAAATAATACAAAATATAGGATCTGTTGTTTATGGTACACATATTCTCATATCCCAGTAAAGGCAGTCCCCGTTACAAGCAATATAGCATATGTCTGTTTGTTCTTAAATTGAATTTGTATGTAAGTCAAACAGGTACATTTTTAGGGGAATCTCCCCCCCCCCCCATATATATATCATCAAGCTTTGGAGAACATAGGGAAAGGCTAACACCCCTGTGGTGTTAGTTTTGCTGTCTGTGCCCCTGTTTGGAAGATTTCACCTTACTTTCTGTTGGTGTGATAATTGGATTTTGAAAAAAAAATGGCTTGTTGTAGAAACAAGGATTGGTGAGAAAGCATCTGTTGAGATCCCATTTCCCCATGATAACTCTTTCAGGAGTTAATTTCCCTTCCTAGCGGTAGAATTCTCTCACTTCCTATTGTCTCACCCCCATTAATTGTAAGTCAGATGTTTGTAACTCAGGGACTGCCTGTATTCTAGTAGCATCAATGGTTTAGCAATTTTTCAATTTCTGAAAATCCATAAACCCCAATCAGGCATATCTAAATAATACTTGGGCATGAAGGACATTGATGTCTGTATCATGACATCACCAATTACCATTATATTATTATTATTATACTGACACAAAAACACAGTATGTCACAACAAATGAGATCACAACAAAATCACAAGTCAAACACTTCCCAAGCGTCTAGGACTGTGTGATGTATTTTCGAATGATGCACACAGATCCAAGTAAGGTGGCCTTTTGCAGTTGACAGATCATGATTTTGTCAATGTTTATTGTTTCCAAATGCCGGCTGATCTTTTGGCATGGCACCCAGTGTTCCGATGACCACTTGGACCACCTGTACTGGTTTATGCCAGAGCCTTTGCATTTCGATTTTGATATTATTTGATATTATTATTATTATTATTATTATTATTATTATTATTTGAAACACAACAAGATGAGTCCACAGCAAACAAGATCACTCTGCTGGCTGTTGTATTGGATCACACGTCGGACACTTCCCAAGTGTCTAGAACTGTGTGATGTATCAGCGAATAATACGTGCAGATCCCAGTAAGGTGGCCTTTTGCAGCTGGCAGATGGTAATTTTGTCAGCGCCAATTGTGTTTAAGTGCAGGCCAAGGTCTTTAGGCACTGCACCCAGTGTACCGATCACCACTGGGACCACCTTGACTGGCTTGTGCCAGAGTCTTTGCAGTTCTATCTTTAAATCCTCATATCATGTCAGCTTTTCCAGTTGTTTCTCTTCAATCCTGCTGTCACCTGGGATTGCAACATCACAATCCATACTTTGTTTTTTAACATGATCGTGAGGTCAGGAGTATTGTGCTCCAAAACTCTGTCAGTCTGAATTCGGAAGTCCCAGAGTAGTTTGACGTGTTCATTTTCTGTAACTTTTTCAGGCTTGTGATCCCACCAGTTCTTTGTCGCAGGCAGATGGTATTTGTGGCACAAGTTCCAATGAATCATCTGAGCAACGGTGTTATGCCTCTGCTTGTAGTCTGTCTTTGAGATCTTCTTGCAGCAGCTTGAAGAGTATTATTATTTCTTTAAAGCTCCTGCTACTTCATTACAGAGATTCAGGCTTGAACTGTCCATAGCCAGAAAGATTGGCCAAACAAAGGAAAAAAGAAATCCACTATTCAGATGGCCTGAATCCCATTTTGATCTAGCACATTACTACTATGCAGGAAAAATATTTATTTAGTGGATGACTAGCTGATATACATTTATTCTAAGCACATTAATCATGCTTTAATTATGTTTCTAGCTACTACACATCTATTAAAAGTTCTTCTTGATTATAAAAATTGTGGAAATTCTTCCAAGCAAACCTGGGACTGAATCTCAGCTTCTGGTCTGACTGATGTTTTTTACTTCAACTCCAAGAATCCCCAGCCAGCTTAGCCAAAAGCGATATATTCTGGAAGTTGGAGTCCAAGGGCCAATCCAGACAGACCTTAAACGTGAGATCTGTCTCAGTTTTATTGGAGATTTCTAATACTCTGGTTTCTCTTCAGATCGTATAAATCTTTCACCTTTCTTTTCTTCTAACGGGCACCTCTGGAAAACCAAATTATTTTGAAACAAAGCAGAGTTTCCCTCCTTTTTCCAAATTAATTAAACACCTGGTAAGATCCAGATCTTAGGTAAGATCCACATCTTACCAGGTGTGGGCCCAGTGTGGATGGGGCCCAAGGACCTCGTCATGCAAAATCCGGGCCCAATTCATACAGCCATCTTGGTTTTGGGGGCTCCAGGAGCCCCTAAAAACCAAGAGAGTACCCACCTCACCCCAAACCCCAAAAGAACCCCTAAAAAGTTTAAAAAACTTATCTGGCCACCATTATGGTCCTCCTTGCATACTACTGGTGCGAGGAAATGATGTGCCAGCAGGGTATGAGGAAGAACATAATGGCACCCGGGTAAGTTTTAAAAACCTTTAAGGGGTTCTTTTGGGGGTCTTCGGTGTGGCTAATACTAATTGGGATAGCATGTAGCCACTCTCCCTGGGAAAGCCCGGGTTTTGGGTGGGTTGTGGGAATTTAAACCCAACACAGGTTGAAGTCATGTCTGGAAGTGCCCCCAAAACACCTAAAGGGTCAAATTTTGGGAGACATTGCCTTACTGTAAGGAGACCAAAATCTCATCTCAAATTAGGATACAGCCATCTCAATTTGCCTCAAATTAACAAGCAGAGACATCAGTTTGTGATGATGCTTATATCCACTTAGGTTTGATGTAACTATTGCTACGTGCCTTCAAATCATTTCTGACTTATGGTTGGTGTTTCTTGGCAATATTTTTTCAGAGAAGGTTTGTCTTTGCCTCCTTCTGTGGCTGATAGAGGGTGACTTGCTCAAAGCAATATAATGAGTTTACATGGGATCTAAACCTTAATCTCCGGAGTCCAATGCTTAAATCACTTACAGGTTACACACGATCTAGTCCACAATTGAATAAGGGGGTGTTAAAAGGATCACCAATGACTAGAACAGACATCAGGAAATTTCTGGCATTGTCACTGTGATTGTGTTTACTGTAATTTTATATTGTTGTGCATTCATATGTTTTATGTATTATGATGTTGTTTATTGTTTTCATTTTTATTTTGCTGTAATTTGTTGTTTGGGCTTGGCCTCATGTAAGCCGCTCCGAGTCCCCACTGGGGAGATGGTGGCGGGGTATAAATAAAGTATTATTATTATTATTATTATTATTATTATTATTGTGTGTGTGTGTGTGTGTGTGTGTGTTTTAATCATCTTCTGGCTGGAGCCCCCGGTGGCACAGTGGGTTAAACCCCTGTGCTGGTAGGACTGAAGACTGACAGGTCAGGTTCGAATCCGGGGAGAGGCGGATGAGCTCCCTCTATCAGCTCCAGCTCCTCATACGGGGACATGAGAGAAGCCTCCCACAAGGATGATAAAAACATCAAATCATCCGGGCGTCCCCTGGGCAACGTCCTTGCAGACGGCCAATTCTCTCACACCAGAAGCGACTTGCAGTTTCTCAAGTCGCTCCTGACACAACAAAAAAAAATCTTCTGGCTTTTCAAGATTTAGTCCAAAAGGTTTACTTAACATCATACTTAAGTCTGACTCCTATTACAAATTAAGTTCACACGTAAGATGCGGGATCCTCTAAAAGTGTTTGTGTTTTGGCTACATAAGACTTCCTCCTTCCAAGTAATAACGCCATGGGAGAAAAGAAGCTTTAAAAGGACAGATTCTTGGCTCTGAAATTTCATTTTAACCTTATCTTTCAATTGTTTGGGGTGTGTGTACATGGTTTACAACGCTTGTACATTTTCTTTTTCATTTACTTTAATTAGGTTTTGTTTCCATTCCAGTTTTTTTCATGACTAGTAAGGATTTGCCTTTTCAATATGACATTGGAAGAAGAAGCAATTATGTGGGCCGGGGCAAAGAAATGCAATTTGATAAAATCAACGCCTATGTTTGCCAACCTGATTACGACACGAACAATGCGGTAATTCTGGTTCATGACATATATGGATGGCAATTCCCGGATACTAGATATATTACTGATATATTTGCAAGTAATGGATACATGTAAGTAATTATTGTTGTTACTGTCATTATCATTATTAATGTATTATTCCCTATATTTTCAAGATGTTTATTTGACCTCATGATACAATATGTTGATTTTTGCTTTCCATCTTGAGCAAGAGATCAGTTTAGGGACATTGTGTGTGTTTTGTCTTATGCCTATTATCACAGCCTGTTTTTTTAAATTTAATTTTAGTTATAACTCATGTTTATATGTTGGGTTGTTTAAATTTTGTTAGTATGGATGTATTGTTGTTGTATTCAGGATTGAATGTTTGTCTTCTATGTTTGGAACCCGCCCTGAGTCCCTTCGGGGAGATAGAGCGGAATATAAATAAAGATTATTATTATTATTATTTGAAAGACAAGATGCGTTCACAGCAAACAAGATCACTCTGCTGGCTGTTGTATTGGATTGCACGTCGGACACTTCCCAAGTGTCCAGGACTGTTGATGCATCAGCGAATAATGCGTGCAGATCCCAGTATGGTGGTCCTTTGCAGCTGGCAGATGGTAATCGCCGATTGCATTTAAGTGCAGGCCAAGGTCTTTAGGCACTGCACCCAGTATGCCGATCACCACTGGGACCACCTTGACTGGCTTGTGCCAGTCAAGATGATGATGATGATGATGATGATGATGATTACAAAGCCCTAAACGGTTTGGGACCCGCCTACCTGCGTGACCGCATCTCTGTATACGAACCCACACGATCTCTTCGATCATCTGGAGATGCCTTGCTCGCGATCCCACCTGCATTGCAAGCGCGATTGGTGGGGATGAGGGACAGGGCTTTTTAGGTGGTGGCCCCTCGACTCTGGAACTCACTCCCCAAGGACATCAGGCATTCCCCAACGCTGGCAGTCTTTAGAAGGAGCTTGAAAACGTGGTTGTTCCAGTGTGCCTTCCCAGAATAAGGAAACTCCAAGCAATATGTCCCAAATGCACTTTACTAGAGATCTAGAATTGCCTGCACACCCCATCTATCCCTAAAATATCTATCCTATTTCACCTGATCATGCCCAACATTTTTAAAGATTTTAAGTATGACATTTGGCCCTGCCACAGGTTGTAATGCGCCACGGTGTTATTGTTTATGTTTTTGCTTAGTTTATGAGTGTTTTTTAATTATTGTACTGTTGTTGTTGTGTTTTACTGATGTATTTGGGCTCGGCCTCTTGTAAGCCATACCGAGTCCTTCGGGAGATGGTAGCGGGGTATAAATAAAGGTTTATTATTATTATTATTATTATTATTATTATTATTATTATTTTCAACTGCCCAAAGTCTCTAGGCAAATGTCTGCAGCCATTTCTTCAGAAATTGTTTAGATCAAGCTGCCCCTCCAGTACTGTGATCCACTACAGTAAGCCCACTCTTCAAGATCCCCTGAGTTCTCTCCTTAATTCCCTCTACTGCAGTGGTTCTCAACCTGGGGGTTGCGACCCCCAGAGGGGTCACCTGGCCATTTCGGAGGGGTCGCGAGGCCGCCTCCATTGGCCACGCCCCAAGGGCGCAAGCAAGATGAGGACTCCTTCGCGCGAGTCCTGGCCTCACGCAAAGCCTGCCTCGCCTGCCACACTCTCTCGCCATACGGCGAGGGCAAGGGGCAGGCGAGGGATCCTCCACGCGAGGCCTGGCCTGGCACAAAGCCCACCTCACCTGCCTTGCATTCTCGCCATCCAGGAGTTCTGTGGTCTGTGGAAGTCAGCGCTGAATTGGTTGAAGGTACTGCAAATCCATATTTTTTTTCTGATTCATCATGATGCTTTAATTATGTTGAATTTGTAACAATTAAAACACATCCTTCATATCAGATATTTACATTACGATTTGTAACAGTAGCAAAATTACAGTTATGAAGGAGCAATGAAAATAATTTTATGGTTGGGGGTCACCACAACATGAGGAACCATGTTAGAAAGGTTGAGAACCACTGCTCTACTGATTTAGTATCTGCCAGGGCATATATAACAAGAAGGTTGTAGCACTTACTCCAAATGACAAAATGGGTCCCCCATCCCTTTCCTCACTCATGGCCTTTTGTGCACCGATATCGCACAAGCACAATACACATAGAAACACCTTCATGCTGAGTCAGAGAGCATGAATGAAGACCCAGGCCTTAAAACTGACTCATATGCAAAATACATGTGCTGCTTCTTCAGAACCTCTCGCTGTAATCTTCCTCCACCATTGTGAACTGGCCACCCAAGCTTGTTCGCTTAGAATTTCACATAAAACCTTTTCTTTTAAATCGGAAGAATAATGACTCAAATGACTAACTGCAAAATATCTATTTATAACATTGGCTACCTTTCTGGAAACCTAACTGAATCATACATCTATGAGTAACATCTTACAATGTTTCCATTTAGAACCATCTGCCCAGACTTTTTTCTAGGAAAAGCACCCTGGAATCCTAATAATCATTGGCACGATTTTGCAGACTGGTTAAAGGAACGGGATCCCATGAAAGTGGACAAGTAAGGCTAATGTTTGTTTCCTAACTGAAATGAGGAAAATATGAAGTTAGCTGAGATATATTAGCAAGTGATGCTTACTGGAAGGAGGGTATTGAGTTACAGTTAACAAAATACATACTTTCTGTCCCTGGTGACATCCTCCAGATGTGTTGGATCATGATTATCATCCCCTATTGTCCATGTTGGCCAGAGTTGAATAGTTTTGTTTTCCAAAACATCTAGATAAACATCCTAGATAAATATCTAGTATGCATGCATATGGTTTCAACTTTAATATGCCTCTTAAAAGAATGTCCCCATCTTTGAAGCAAAGCTGATGAGGACCACAGGCAGGCTTTATGTTCCAAAGGTTTTTATATAGAGACTAGCTGTACCCGCCACGCGTTGCTATGGCCAACCTTTCCTCCCTCTTTCTCTCCTTCCTTCACTCCCTCTTTCCTTCCTTTCCTTTTACTCTCTCTCTCTTCCTTCCTTCCTTCCTTCTCTACCTCTTTCCTTCCTTCCTTCGCTTTTTGCTTCCATCCTTCCTTCTCTCTTTCCTTCTTTCCTTCCCTCCCTCTTTCTCTCCTTTCTTCCTTCTCTGCCTCTTTCCTCCCTCCCTCCCCTTTTTGCTTCCACCCTTCCTTCTCTCTTTCCTTCTTTCCTTCCCTCCTTTTCTCCTTCTCTCCCTCCTTCCTTCACTCCCTTCCTTCTTTTCCTTTTTAATTTCTCTCCTTCCTTCCTTCTCTACCTCTTTCTTTCCTTCCACCCTTTTTCTTTTCCTTCCTCTTTCTCTCCTTTCTTCTTTCCTTCCCTCAACTCTTTCTCTCATTTCTTCCTCTCTGCCTCTTTCTCTCCTTCCTTCGCTTTTTGCTTCCATCCTTCTTTCTCTCTTTCCTTCCCTCCCTCCTTTTCTCCTTCTTTCCATCCTTCCTTCACTCCCTCTTTCCTTCCTTTCCTTTTTTCATTCTCTCCTTCCTTCCTTCTCTACCCCTTTCTTTCCTTCCCCCTTTTGCTTTTCCTTCCTCTTTCTATCCTTTCTTCCTTCTCTACCTTCTTCCTTCCTTTGCTTTTTGCTTCCATCCTTCCTTCTCTCTTTCCTTCTTTCTTTTTCCTTCCCTCTTTTCTCTCCTTCCTCCTTCCTTCCTTCCTTTCTCCTCTCTCTCTCTCTCTCCTTCTCTTCCTTCCTTTTTTTCTGTAGTCATTTAGCTTTTCATCATTTAGCTTTTTTGGTTTTTATTGCTTTTGGGGGGGAGGGGGGTTATGAGTGATGGTCACTCATTGGTCTGTTAGGGGTATAGTGTCCAAATTTAGTGTCATTTCATCCAGTGGTTTTCGAGTTATGTTAATCCCTCAAACAGCCATTACATTTTTATTTATATAGACTAGCTGTCCCCTGCCATGTGTTGCTATGGCTCAGTCTGTGTATATGCATTTTGAGTTTGTATATATGTGTGTGTGTATTTGTGTATAAGGGTTTATATGTGTGTTTGTGTATATATGTGGTTTTGTGCATGTGTTGTAATGTTGTTTTTTTTGTTTGTTTTTTTTTGTTTTTAAAGTCTCTTCTGGTGTGTTTTTCAGTGTTTTTATGAGTGATGGTCACTTGTTGGCCTGATAGATGTATTAATTCCAAATTTGGTGTCAATTCATCCAGTGATTTTTGATTTATGTTAATCCCACAAACGAACATTACATTTTTATTTATATAGATATAATGACTTTTCACAACCCCATCATACTGCCTAGAAGAGACATGCATGCCTTGAAGTTCCTCAGGCCAAACACAGACTAATTTAATATCTATGATTCTTCTAGATAATTTGTGATGCAAGCTACAGGCAAAAAAATAATCTTAGAGTCCTCAACAGAAAGAAGATTTATTAAAAAAAACACATTCTTGGATAGCAATAAGCTGATCCAAATTAATCTCAAAGGTAAAAGTGAGGGTTGGGGAGACATGTTGCATCATGTCCTCCCTTTAAAAAGACCAGAGAAGTTTAGTCTGAGTTGGTTCTTTTTCATTTATAACAGGAGGTAGTCACTTAACCAGTGGCATTACTAGGAGGGTGTGAACTGCTCTGGGTGACACCATCAGAGAGGATGACACCAAAATGACTCTATAGAATTGTTGTGCAGTGTTTTAACAGACATTTATTACTTTTTGTACAAATATCCCAGTGGTTGGATATAACCACAAAAACATGTTTATTAGCCCAGGTTTCATGTATTGCATCAATGTACCTACAAGGTTAAAACTCATCTGCAAATACAGGAAGTATTTGCTGTTGTTTTAATTACTGCTTTTTTTTTAATCACAGATTTTGTGTAATTTTCTGTTATGAGCTAAAATATAGTGATATGGACTGATATAGGAAGAGGTCCATGGGAGCGACCACACTGGTTGACCCACCCTTTGTGTTTGATTTTTATTATGTTGCACTGTTTATTTTATTTTGTTACTTCATGTATTTTGTTGTAATTTTTCTGTTGTTTTGTGTTTAACTTTGCTGTATTTTTTGGGAGCTTGGCCTCATGTTAGCTGCCCGAGTCCCCTTTGGGGAGATGGTGGAGGGGTATAAATAAAGATGATGATGCTGATTATTATTATTATTATTATTATTGACTTCAACCCTAGTGATGCCATTGTGTTTAATTGACCCTAATGAAACCACTCAATGGGCCCATCCAGACAGGTCCAAAAGGTGGGACCTATCTGGGTTTTTACCGGGGCCCAAGTAAACGACTCCTCCGGTAAAAATGAATAAATTTGGGATAACTGCGTGTAGCGAAATTGCTACTCTATGTTAAATTTTTGATGTATAACTCTATGTTTACATATGGCAGATAGGGAAGAATAGGCACAGCTAGGGTAGCAACAGCAGAGATAGGATTCATTTGCATATGGAAGCCAATTGGTCATATGCAGATTAGCGTAGGCCAGGATTTGAAATGGTTGCTAGGCCAAAATGACAGTTGGGAAGAGCAGAGCTAAACATTCCAGAGGGACGGAGCCAAGGTTTAAAAATATAGGCAGTTAGAGAGACAAAAGAGTTAGTTAGGAATTGCTGGTTGTGAGTTGAGTTAGGGATTCCTGTTTGTGAAAGACAGTTAGGAACTTCTGTGAGAGAAAAGAGTTAGGAACTGTTAGAAATAAGCAGTTATGAAGATTTGTTAAAGACTTCTGATATATAGAAGCAGTTAGTTAAATAGAGCTCAAGTTTTAGGAACATAAAGAAAGCCAGTGGTGCTTTAGTCAGAATATAATTTCAGTCAAGAGTGTGTAAAGCAAGTAACATGTTTGTGAATGTGAAACATTGAAAGTCTATTTCAGAAAAGTAAACCAAGTATATTATACTGACTGTAAGCCTCAAGATTACAACAAAACCCAAATGTAACCACAAGCGTTGGAGCCAGAACTTATAAATAAACTGTGTTATTTTGTTATACAGAAGAGTGTCTCATTGCCTGTACAAAGGTTAAACAGCACACAGAAAGTCCCAGATAATATAAAAGAAGAAACTGAATCAGTATAAGAGTAAAGAGGTTTTTTCTTAAATAAAGAAATAGTCTCCCTCCCTCGCTACACTGCGGTTAGAAATTAATCAAAGCCCCATTAGATCTAGGCCTTCCTAAATGGTTTGGGTCTAATCAGGTATTGGACCTCTGGGAATTCACCCTGGATAATTCCAGGACTACCTGGGTAATTCCAGGTGAGTCCCCATTTACCATCCCAATCCTTTTGGTCTCTTAAACCCAAAGGTCCAGGATGGCTCCCAACTCCTCCTTCCCCAGCCCCCAAAACAACTTTTTCATATACAGACAACATTGGGCGCTTCCAGACATAACTTAAACACATGCCGAAATGGGTTTTAAAAAATCTGCTTTGGCTTTCCCCCAAGTGTGTGTGTGTGTATATGCCATCCCGATTACAATCGGGATGGTATGCAGTAGGCTTGTTTTATAAAAAAAAAAAAAACAGTGTTCAAAACTCGTTTCGGCTGTAGGGGTGCTGGTAGTTCGATTCTAAAGTCACTTCCTTTAAAAAAAATTTCTCCAAAACTTCCGAAAATGCTTCGTTAATGGCGGATACACATGTGCAGTAGGAAAAAAACAGCACTGGCACTGGGGAAACTTCAGGGCTCTTCCACTCAGGCCACTCCTGACCGAGGGACTCTTCCACTCCAGGCCTGCCTCGGCTGTCAATGCTGAGGAGAAGGAGGAGGAGGCGACACCCCCTCAGGTGCCAATTGGCTCCCGCTGCCGGGCTTCAACACCTGGAGGGGCCAAAGTTTGATCAGGCCTGAATTAGATGCAGCCATGCCACAGTTCAATGTTATGGGATCCTGGGGTTTGTAGTATGGCACTCTTTGGCAAAGGAGGCTAAAAAACCATGCAAAACTACAGCTCCCAGAATTGTGTAGCATTGAGGCAAAGTGGTTGGAAGTGGTTCCTCGATAAGATCTGCCTGATCCACCTGGAGGGAGGGAGGCAGGAGAGGGAATGAAGGAAGAAAGGAGGGAGGGAGGGAAGGGAGGAAGGAGGGAAGGAAGGTGCTTCTGACAGGTTCTCCTTCCTTTCCAAAATTGGTTGCTTTAACCAATACCCCAATCAACCTTTAATGCCACTGATCTATAACAGAAAGCACCCAAACCTTGAAATTGAGGTGAGAAGGGGGGGGGGGGAGTGAGGAAAACTCGGTTTGAATGCAAACTCCAGAGCTCCAGCTGGTAATGCAGAAAAGGAGGAGGAGGAGCCTGCTGCTCGGCCATTTTGCCGAATGCGCAGCAAGGCAGGGTGGGAAATGTAGTTTAACAACATGGCCTTTTGCAGTCTCTACCATTGGTGGCCTTCCCTTCACAAACTACAAGAATGGCTGTGCTTAGGCACGCCTACCTCATCCCTCCTTTGCATCGCCCGGGAGGGGAAGCAAAACTTTACAAAAATTGCTTAATGCTTGTGAAAATTAAAATAACCTTGGGAGAGTTCCGAACATTACGAAATATTTATGAATAAAAAGATTCCAATCGTAATTACTTTTCCTGCATGGTTCAAAATTGATTCAAAAGACCAAGTTCATTAGGTTTTAATGAATTTGAGGTTTTAACAAAGTGAACCTAAGCAACTCTAGTATGCAGCCACCCCAAAGGTCCCCAATGTTGCAACTTAGAGTAGGCTTCACCTTGCTTCCAAACACCACCACGCAAGAGCTGTAGTTTTATAGTTTATTGAGGAAAAAATCCAAGTCAAAATAAAGAATAAGCATTGCAAAGTTCCAAAGAATAAGGTTAAATGCAGACTATAGTTCCAAAGACCTTCAAGTAAAAACAGGAGACACAATCCTATTGGCAAAGTTCAAACCAGAGTCCGAGGTACAAGCAATGAAACAATTGCCCCACGAATCACGATGCAAGAAATCCCAAGTACTGCTTTCCAGGCTAAGGTTATTCCATGAAGCTTCCAGGCTAGTAAGCTACGTTGAACTGATGCTTTCTCAGAGTTTGCAAAAGGCCTAAATACCTTTCTAACATGAAAACATTAGGCTCTCGTCATCATAAAAGCATTGTGACGACCTTTCACCGAGCTGGCTTCTCGTCTGCTGGCAAGATGAGGACTCTGCCTGACCTGGAGATCAAGGCGAGCTTGCTGGGTCAAGTCACTATCTACACTTTCGGTATCAGCGTGGGAAGGCACCTGCTCGCTATCTCCTTTGTTAAAATTCCTTTCTGGTGTAAATGGCTGTGTTGACACTGCACTGTCTGTGGGAACCTCAGAAGCAGGCCCAGAGATTTGAGGCACAGACAAAGAGCCAGGAAGCTGAATCCTAGCAGGAAGCTGAATCCCATCATCCTCATCGTCAGAACATAGCTCAGTCACAACACGCAAAACAACTCCTTAAAATTAAAAGAAACTTACCTAGCACCATTAAGGTACTCCATGTGTCCTCCTGGAGCACCAAATGATGCACCAGGAGACGGGGGGGGGGGGGGGGGGGGGGGGGGAGCAGTTTTCCTCCTCACCCCTCCCTCCCCAGTTTCCTGGTGGTTTCCCTTGTTTTGGGGACCTTTGGGGTGGCTGCATACCATCCCGATAGTAATTGGGATGGCATGTAGACACACACACACACACACACACACTTTGGGGATAGCTTGCCAAAGCAGATTTTTTTAAAACCTATTTCAGCATGTGTTTAAGTTATGTCTGGAAGCGCCCAATGTTATTTTTATGCCAAAAGGGTGAAACATACATAGAATTTCCTTCTCCTCTGGAATCCAGAGCCTTGAGAAGAGAGATCAAGTTTGCAGCCACTTACATGCCTTCAATGTTTGTTCCAGAAGGCTGGGAAACCCTCTGGAAAAGGTTTTTGTGCAAAACTGGGTAGGGTGGGAGGAGAAGGAGAAGAAAGTCCTGTTTTACAAATGGTTGTTTCCAAACTTGCTTTTTTTTTTGCTTAGGCTGAAGTTATATAGAAGCCAAATTAAAAGTAAGTGAACAGAGAGCGTCAATTATATCAACCTGATCTAAAATACTATGTAGCTGGAGGTGCATTCTTAGAAATCTCTTTAGATTTCAACTCATTTTATGATAAACTGTAATTATATCCGTGTTAATTTGTTTCTCCTAGTGCATAAAATGGAACAGTACTATCAGATTTAGCTCAATTCCTTTTCTGTTAGCACGCAAAGGGAACTCTGAAATTTTCACTTTCGTCACTTTTTATTTTTATTGTTTGGAAACCCAAGCATTTAAAAGTGAATGTACCACTTAGAATAGTTGGTGCCATTTAAAATCAGTTGTTGCGGCACCAATATCCCACATTTTAGTTATGCGGTGCTTAACAGAGTTGAACAATGTTTTATAAGATGTGTGATTTTTCTCCCTCCATCAATAGGGAAGCTGCAGAAAAACTGTTTGTATTGCTATTTCATTTCAGATTTTTACACAGATACCTTAACTCCCCCCTTCTTTTATGCCTTAGGACAACTGCTGTGTTTATGAAGTGTCTAAAGGAAAAATACAAAGCAATGAAGATTGGTGTTGTCGGTTTTTCCTGGGGTGGAATGGCTGTACATCACTTGATGCTGAAAAATCCTGAATTCAAGGCTGGGATATCAGACTATGGTAGTGAAAAATATTTCTTACCTTAGGCAATCTGCTACATGTTCAAATATTTCAACACTTCTAGACCAAGTCCATGTATAAATGAGTGACAAGGTGCAATATTTCAGAAATATATGCTCTGTTTATCCATTGATCTAATAAAAAGGCCGACCTAGACACATTTTACACACTTTGATGAGACAGTTTTGCTGGCACTTTCTTAATTATATTGTCAAAGGCTTTCATGGGTGGAATCACTGGGTTGTTGTAGGTTTTTTCGGGCTATATAGCCATGGTCTAGAGGCATTCTCTCCTGACGTTTCGCCTGCATCTATGGCAAGCATCCTCAGAGGTAGTGGTAGCATCCTACCTCTGAGGATGCTTGCTATAGTATCGAAGGCTTTCATGGCCGGAATCACTGGGTTGTTGTGATTACCTCACTACCTCTGAGGATGCTTGCCATAGATGCAGGCGAAACGTCAGGAGAGAATGCCTCTAGACCATGGCCATATAGCCCGAAAAAACCTACAACAACCCACTTTCTTAATTATTTTTTTCATGTCAGGAGCAACTTGAGAAACTGCAAGTCACTTCTGGTGTGAGAGAATTGGCCGTCTGCAAGGACGTTGCCCAGGGCACACCCCGATGTTTCACCATCCTGTTGAAGGCTTCTCTCATGGGTCATGAGAGGACATACTTGATGCAAATTTCCAACATCAGTCTTCTGCACAGTCTTGTTTCCTAACTGTGTCCACCCTACTCAGTGCATGCTCACTGTGCTTTGTCCTTATTCTCCTTTGTGGTTGCATCATTCTCATAAGACCTTCCTTTACCCCCAAAATATCAGGACTTCAATGGAAGGAATTATCAGTCAAGAAAGAATGGTGGAACAGTAGCAATGTTGGCTTCATTGATGGGTAATCTAATCATGATGCAAGCTCAATACAAGTATAGGCGAGACACACTGTCGTGTGGTAAGCCCCATCTAAAGATGCTTTTGTCTTGGCATAATTGCACTTTGTCTGATAGTTCTTAGACTCACTGCAGAGTAAGAGAGCAGGGCTTTAGACCTATTTTGTGCCGTCGCGCCTGGGGGGTATTATTCTCAATAAAGGAGGGATGGACGTGGCATCTTTCCCCCAGGGGATTGCTTCTTGCCCTCCTATAGGAAACTGGAACTCCCAAAAACCCAAAACGCTGTAAATAGCTCAAAATAAGTTTTATTTATCACAAAGTCATTTCTTCAAAGCAATGAGCTGGAAAACTTTAGAGGGGTGAAGGAAAACATATGTTACAGTCTCAATTAGTCCTGGGTCCAAGGGGTTTGAAGCTGAGAAGCTTCACCAAGTTTCCTCTTTCCTCAATGGCTGTGAATGCCGGAGCAAACCACAACCCCAGTTCAGATGGCCTATGTTTTGAAGATTCAGGATCTTCCTTTGGTGCCAAAAGAACCGGCTTGAAGGCGCCTGGGTCTCCTCAATAATTGTCCAGGACGATCTGGACATAAAGCATGAGTCCCAGGGGTAAAAAACCTCAGAACTGGTGCTAAGAGGTAACTTAAATCAGGGTCCTTTAGAATCAAGTCTCTTACTCACGTCCATCTGGTACGAACTCTGATGGCAGAATGAAAAGAAAAAGGAAGTTCTCCCCTCTTGCAGGAAGAGGTGGAGCCAAACAGTACTGATTGTCAGCTACAAGCAACCAACCCATACAACTATACATAAGCAGGGTAAAAAGGGGCAGGGTTAAGCATGATACAACAGTTTAAGTCTTACAACTAACAGTTCTATACATAGGTGGCGCCACTTGCGCCGTCACATATTTATTTACTATATAGAACTTTTTTCAATGCAAAGCCCATTCCAAATCAAAGATCGGTTTCATAAGAACAACATCAATCTGATTCGGTCAAGAGTTAGCTGTGAGGGTTGTTCAAATAATAATGTTCCACATTTGTTTACTCAGCCTTTAACAAAGACAGAAAACTACACTTTTATCTGGTAAAAACCTGATGTTGCTCCCACCCGGGTACAGGCAGTCCCTGAATTACAAATATCCAAGTAGACAGGCCCCATCCATCTCCTCCTTTTGTAAGACCTAGTGGTTTCAACAAGCCTTTGAGAATGACTAGTTCTAACACAGCCCTGGAGATTGTTGAATATGGCCTTATTCTTCCAACCAATTACCCAGGTCACTTCCTTTAATAGGCCCCAGAAATGAACAGCCATGGACCCGTACCTATTATTGTTGTTGCCTGCTATAGTACTGCACTTAATTTCTGGGCCCAGGGGCAGCTCAACTATCTCTTATCCTTGCATTATACTGTTTTGGACAGGGGCGGCTCAACCCATTACACAAAGTAAGCATTTGCAGTATAGTTGATTTTGCCCAGGGACGCTCTTGAGGCACTCTCAGGGGAAAATAGACCTTGACATATGCGAGTTGTAGTTACTGGGATGTATAGTTCACCTACAATCAAAGAGCATTCTGAACTCCACCAATGATGAAATTGAACCAAATATGGCACACAGACACACTGTCGTCTGTTCCCACGATGAACAGAAAATATATATCAATGATTGGTTGGGGCAGGGGAGCAAAATACTGTTTGCTTACTGTTGAAAATTACTAGGACCGCCTCTGTCCGGGCCCCCTAGAATTTTTGAGCTTGCACTAATCTCGGCCCGGCCTTTTAAATTGCCTTGAACAGGCAGGATTACTTTTGATATATATGTGTTGTGGCGACAATTTTATGCTTATATTGTTTTGTTAATCTTATGTTTGTGTTGTTTACTCTGTATGTATTAATGATGTTACTTGGAAACCACTCTGAGTCCCCTCGGGGAGATGGAGAGGTATATAAATAAAGTTTTCATTATTATTATTATTATTATTATTATTATTATTATTATTATTTATAAATGAGTCATAGTTAAGAACAGGAAGTGAGAAAAATCTACTCCTGAAAGAGTTATCATGGGGAAAAAGTTGACTCAATTGGAGCTTTCTCATCAATCCTTGTTTCCACAACAAACAAATCTAATTATCACAGGGAGAAGACTGTGGTATTTTCAATGTATTTTGGATAATAAAATAGAAAAACACACTAAAAACATATCACACAAAGTTATTTCACAAAATTCAGTACAGATTTCAATATAATTTCATTCAATTGCACCATCTGACATAGATATGTCAAAGCAGGTTGTAAAAAACCGTACATAGTGGAGCAAATCTGAGATCGTTTGTGGATTTAGAAGGCTAAATTTCTGTAAAACCAGAATTTATTTTTTAAAAAGTGTTTATGGCCCTTAATAGTACAGATCTGTGTTGTTCGGAAGAGCACTCAACATGGAAAATGTGATGTACATGCCTTTAAAATATATTGTTGGAGCTGTTTTAAATTGTATTTAACATGTTGTTTTAATAGTCTTTTGACGCCAATAAAATAATATATATATGTAATATGTTTTAGGAATAATCAGGGACTCTGAAAATAGATACAATTTGTTGAATCCAACGTTTTTCGTTTTTGGTGGAAATGATCACACCATTTCTCCTGAACAGGTAAACATTTCTAATTCAGATTCTAATGATGTCTCTGCTGCCTGTCATGTATATATGGGGGGGGGGGGGAAGTAGATTGAACATAGGAACCATGCTACATCCACACACTTTTTTAAAAAAAAATGCATACTCCTGTGTAGTGATATGGGTGGAAGCATTTACAACCTCATCAGACAAGGCTGAAATCAGCATCATGTGCTGGTTCACTTTCTCTTTGATGATGGAGCCAGTTGGCTCCCATCCCACAACGTACTGCAACTTCCAGTGGGCTGTCATAAAGAAGAAAGCAAACCGGGGCATGCAGGCGTGATGGCAACACAGAATGTTTCCCGTGTTACCTTGGAATCAGTGGGGGGGGGGGGGAGCCAGGATGGGGATGTGGTGAGTTGGGTGATGTGCTGCATGGGGCAATGCGTTCTTCACACCCATGGACATGCACTGCTGGAATCTGTGGTGATTCCGGTGGCACATGTGAAGAGGTCTATAGATAAAATGAGTGAAGTAGTCCTCATTTGCTGAAAGAAGGATAATAATAATAATAATAATAATAATAATAATAATAATAATAATTTATTTCTAGACCGCCCTCTCTCCCTGAAGGGACTGAGGGTGGAATACACACAAAAAAGGCACAATCTCTGCACTAACTGCAGCTTCTGAACTATCCTCAAAGGCAGCCCCACATAGGGAGCATTACAGTAATCCAAATGGGATGTGACTAAGGCATGGACTACCATGGCCAAGTCTGGCATCTCAAGGTACGGGTTTTGCTGGTGCACAAGTTTTAACTGTGCGAACGCACTCCTGGCCACTGCCACCACCTAGGGTTCCAGGGTCAGCGAGGAGTCCTGGGTGGGTCTGTATTGTCGAAGGCTTTCATGGCCAGAATCACTGGGTTGTTGTAGGTTTTTCGGGCTGTATGGCCATGTTCTAGAAGCATTCTCTCCTGATGTTTCACCTGCATCTATAGCAGGCATCCTCAGAGGTTGTCGGGTCTGTTGGAAACTAGGAAAATTGGGTTCATATATCTGTGGAAAGTCCAGTGTGGGAGAAAGAACTCTTGTCTATTGGAGGTAGGTGTGAATGTTTCAATTGGCCACCTTGATTAGCGTTTGATGGCCTGACAGTTTTTGGGTGTGGCTTGTTACTGCCTGGGGAAATCCTTTGTTGAGAGGTGATTAGCTGTTCCTGATTGTTTCTTATCTGGAATTCCCCTGTGTTTGAGTTTTGTTCTTTATTTACTCTTATAATTTTAGAGTTTTTAAATATTGGTAACCAGATTTTGTTCATTTTCATTTCTGTTGAAATTGTCCACATGCTTGTGGATTTCGATGGCTTCTCTGTGTAGCCTGACATAGTACAGTATTTCTGTTTTCTCAAATATGCTATGTCCTGGATCACCCCCAAACTGCCAACCTGTGTCTTCAGGGGGTGTGCGAACCCATCCAACACAAGTTGTAATCCCATACCCTGTTCTGCCTTACGACTGACCAGGAGTACCTCTGTCTTGTCTGGATTTAGTTTCAGCTTGTTGGTCCTCATCCAGAAAGGAAGAGATGAAGGAAGGGATCAAAACTTCCTTGCGTTGGTTGAAATCAGATGATACAAGTCAAGTAGGACAGGGAGGTATCTCAGTATCATACAAATATGTGGTTGCTGACTAGATAGCTACCCTCACTAAACACACCAACGTTGTAGTCCAATTTAATTGCATGGGAAATAACATGTTTTGCACAAGAATGTCTCAGCTTGGTTGCTGACACTTTCAGGCAAAGCAACGTCGTTTTCTGAAACTATGCTTATGCCCACTTTCTAAGCTGGCCATCCATGGGATCCTATGAAATCTTATCAAAGGCTGAACCAGACATCAGGCGCCAACAAAGAAAATGGGTTGGGATGGTTCAATCCATGTGAATCATCCTTTTAATAGGCGTACTCATCATATGCTATAAACTTAATTTAAAAGCTTTCATTTAAAAGATTTAGACTGTTTCTCAGAATACTGTTGGGGGAGGTGTAACCATTAATTGGCTTTTTCAAATGAAACAGATTCAGGGCTGCATGGGAACCTTGGGATGGCTTCTGCCTTGGAACATCCTATCTCTCTTAATTATACCTCTTTCATTCTGGCTGTAATTGTTTTAAGGGGCAGGGAGTCTATCATGTTCAGAAGTAATATTAAATATTGCATTTAATCTTACTTCTTTCTGTAGAAAAGGGGTATCACCAGAGATGGGAATTAACATCCCTGCATGAAGAAGGAAGAGTAATGAAGGGAAGAAACTATATGATGAAGATATTTGCAAGCAATTTTTAAAACTTACACTTTAGTACAAGCATGGGCAAACTTTCTAACTTGGGGGCTGCATGGTGGGCTGGAGTGGGGTGGCGGGCCGGGTTCTCTACACCCCCTGTTCTCTCCAAGTCCCCTTCCTGCCCTTTCCACCCCTTCCTCTTCTATTTTGGAGGCAGACAGTGGAGGAAAGACGGTGAACATTTGGATCCCAAAAGGGTTTGGCCTTGGTCAGGATGAGAGAAAAAGTGTATCCATTAGACACCATATTGCCTACTCCTGATATATAATCCTAGCACTGGAAGAGACCTCCAATGGCCATCCAGTCCAACACCCTGCTATGCAAGAAGGCACAATCAAAGCAGTCCCGATAGACAGCCTCTGCGGAAAAGCATCCAGAGAAGGAGACTCCAACACACTCCCAGGCAGCCTAGGCCACTCTCCAGGAAGTTCTTCCTAATCTTTTCAGTTAAATCTCTTTCCCTGCCATTTGAGTCCCCTTCGGGGTTGAGAAGGGCAGTATACAAATATAGCAAATAATAATAAATAATACATAAAACATTGCTCCTTTGTTCCCTGGTCTCCAGAGCATCAGAAAGTCAGTTTTCCCCCTTCTCCTCAATGGGACATACTTTAAATCTTGAAACATGATTCTCATGTTCCTTCTCAATCTTCTCCCAGGAGGAAGGAAAAAGAGAAGGAAAAGAAGGGAGGAAGAGAAGGAAGGAAGGAAAAGTGGAAGGGAAGGGAAGGAGGAAAGAGAGAAGGAAGGAAAGACAAAAGGGAAGGAAAGACAAAAAAAGAGGGAAGGAAGGAAGGAAGGTGGGTAAAAGAAAGAGAGAGAAGGAGTGAGGAAAGGAAGAGGGAAGGAGGGAGGAAAGAGACAAGGAAGGAAAGACAAAAAAAGAGGGAGGAGGAAAGGAGAAAGGAAAGAAGCAAAAGGGAAGGAGGAAGGAAAAAAAGGAAGGAAGAAGGGGGAAAAAGAAGAAAGGGAAGAGGAAGAGGAGGAAAAGGAAGAGAAAGAGAGGGAAAAAAAGGAAGGAAAGACAAAAAAGAGGGAAGGAAGGAAGGTGGGTGAAAGAGAGAGAGAAAGAGAGAGAGGAGTGAGGAAAGGAAGAGAGGAGGGGGGAAAGAGACAAGGAAGGAAAGACAAAAAAAGAGGGAAGGAAGGTGGGTGAAAGAGAGAGAGAGAGAAGGAGTGAGGAAAGGAAGAGGGAAAGAGAGGGAGGAAATAGAGAAAGGAAGAAGAAAAAAAGGGAGGGAAGGAAGGAAAAGGGGGTGAAAGAGAGAGAGGAGGAGGAGAAAGGAAGAGGGAGGAGGGAGGAAAGAAGGAAGGAAGAAAAAAAAGGAGGGAAGGAAGGGGAAGAGAAGAGGGAAGAGGGGGAAAGGAAAGAAGGAAGGATGAAAGGGTGGAAGGAAAAAGGGAGTGAGAAAGAGGGAGGTAAGGAATTGAGGAAAAGAGAGAAGGAGGAAGGAAAAGAGGAGGAGGGCCCGAGGAAAGAGCCTAGGGGGCCGCATCCTTTCCCCGGGCCTGGGTTTGTCAATACTTGTTCTAGTATATGTGTCACCATTGTTGCCTAACTCCATTTAAAGTAAAAATCTACATGCTGTCTAGAATGCAAGTGAACACATAATTAGGAAATTGAATTTGCAATTTCTTGTAAGATATATGATGATATTTATTTTATGTCACAGGTTACTTTACTGGAAGGAAAACTGAAAGAATATTGTACAGTGGACTATAAAGTTAAAGTTTATCCTGGGCAAGTTCATGGCTTTGCACAGTGTAAGCCCGAGGATATGAAGCCTGAAGATGTACCTTTCATGGAAGAAGCAAGAATGGATATGATTGACTGGCTGAATAAATACATTATGTTTTGAAATTGAACCACAACTTATATCACTTTATTCTACTTTAATGTCACCAAGGCTGCTCCTTAGTAGAAGAGGAAGAAGAAAGATCGAAATACAATAAATTATGCAATATTTGTAAATAGTGGCCCTGAAGTATTCTTATCCTTGAATGACAAACATTCAATATTGAAGATCTTTTCAGAAGCATCATGTCTTTTAAAAAACGTCGTTTGAGAGTCACTCAATTCTTTCTGGCTTTTCTTCAATGTCTGTGACACATTATCTTTCCCAGAATATATTAAAGTTTAATCTCCACATTCATTATTCTATACTAGTACAGATTTGAATTTTTCTTCTTTTAAAAAATCCAGGGTTTAGCATGCCCTGAAGCTACATCCATCAACTCTGAAATGCTCCTCCACACACACACAACACGCACACACGCACACGCACACACACACACCAATTCCAGATAAGCTGGATTGCCATGGTTACTCTTTGCTAGTGGAGAAAAATCATTTCAGCCTCAATGCAAATAATAATAATAATGCTCAAATCTGGAACAAGGGAAATCCTGTCCAATTTCCATGCATTGGAGGAAAGGGGATCTTACTGAAGATATAGGAAGAAATGGGGGAAATCTCTGAGTTTTCGTTTGAAAAGCCACACTTTTCACTAACCACATGCACAGCTATGGCGCAATGATAATAATATGTATGTATGTATTTATTTATTTATTTATTTATTTATATTCCGCTCTATCTCCCCAAAGGGACTCAGGGCAGATTCCAAAAATAAAAGGATTCCAAACATAAAAGGATTCCAAACATTCAATGGCCGCATACAACAACAATACATCAATGCTAACATTCAATGCACGCATACAACAGCAATGCATCAATGTTCTTACCCGCAAATGCCCCATCACTTTTCTGCCCATGTCCCAGCATTATTTCAATTTTAATTTAACATTTGGCCTTCCCACAGTTTTAATTATGTGGTCTTACTGTTAATGTTGTATTATTTTATTGTCCATGTTTTTATTTCAATTGCTTGTATTGTTGTTATTGCTTGTATTGTTGTGTTTGGGCTCGGCCTCATGTAAGCCGCACCGAGTCCCTTGGGAAGATGGTAGCGGGGTACAAATAAAGTATTATTATTATTATTATTATTATTATTATTATTATTATTGCTAACAAAATTGATACAACCCAACATATAAATATGAATTATAACTTAACAAACTAAAATTAAATAAAAAGCACAGCCTGTTATAACAGACATAAGACAAAACATCAAGCATCAAATGGAAACAATAATTTCCCACTTCTTTGGGGAAAATCGATTAATCATTGCTCAAAATATCTAGTGAGCTGGTGGGGTGAACAGAGCACGGATACGGATGGCAGCTATTAATTAGAGGTATAATGGTAGTATTACCAACTACTATTCCTCCTCCTCATAAGCCAGAGAGCAAAGGTATGTCTTCAGCTGTTTTTTGAAAGCGTGGAGGGAGGAGGCCATCTTTAACTCCTTAAGGAGGGAGTTCCAAAGGTGGGGGGCAGCCACGGAGAAGGCCCTTTCTCTCGTTCCCACCAGCCGTGCTTGGGACAGGGGTCGAACTGAGAGGAGGACCTCCTCCGATGACCGCAATGTCCAAGTTGGTCTGTAGAGGGAGATGTGATTTGTCAAATAGTCTGGACCTAAGCCGTTTAGGGCTTTAAAAGTGTTATGTCGCGCGCTGGGCCTGTAAATATTTGTCTTTAGTACAGGATGTGTAACCTTTGCCCAGTGGGAAGCCAGGGGCCCAAGGAGAAGTTCTCAGAGGTTTCCACTACAAAGAGTCTTCAGATGGCTTGAGAAGTACAATAAAGTCTTTTATTAATGAACAATCAAACAAAACTTCTCTTGTCTTCAGTAAAATTAAGCAAATAATTCCAAGCTTTTAGGTAACTGGTGAATTCCTAAACTTGCCCACGAAGGACAGGCAACTAACTGCAATAACTTTTTCTTTAAAGGAAAATCCCCTTTTTAACTTCTCCCAGGCTGACTGAAATCCAACCCTCACTGATGTGGGCTCTGCTACCGGGCCGAATTGTTTCTTGGACACCGAGTGGACCTACCAGCAAGGCAGTGGATGTTCTCCAGCTGGAGTTCTTTAGTCTTTAAGGCTGTTTTCCTGGAACTCTTAGGAGACTCTTAAAGCTGTTCTCCCCTGGGAATTCTTAAAGGTTGAAGCTTTTGTACAGGGGAAGTTACACACATCCTATACATAAGCTAACTTGGCTGAGACTAACTAACAAAATAGCTCACTTCCCTTCCCAATTGCCCTAAGCAAGGGGCGGAACCAAAACTTAAAGATGATGGGCAGGTGGCTTGACCTATAACTGCAACCAAAAGAAGCCACCTATCTGTAGAGTCCCTGAAACTTAGGACTACAAACAAACATTCAATGCAAAGCAAATAAAATTGGAGCTCCTGGTAGAGCTGTGCCAGAACAAAAGGTAAGAACCAGCATTTTGTATTTAACTCGGAAGCAGACTGGCAGCCAGTGGAGCTGCCGCAACATGAGGGTGGTTCTCTCCCTGAACGGCGCTCCAGTTAGTAACCCTGGCTGCCAATCTCTGGACCATTTGAAGCTTCTGAACTATCTTCAAAGGCAGCCCCACATAGAGAGCATTACAGTAGTCCAAATGAGATGTGACTAAGGCGTGGACTACCATGGCCATGTCAGGCGTCTCAAGGTATGGGCGCAGCTTGTGCACAAGGTTTAACTGTGCAAAGGCACTCCTGACCACCTGACCACTCCTGAAAATGAATGAAATAATTTCGCTGCAGAAAATCCTTGGATTATCCATTTAGAAATACAAGAATGAAACATGTCTTGTATAGTAGTCATTATTAGATCAGGGCAGGTAGAGTGTGACTCTAGAAATGTATAATTTGGTGGTTGTGTGCTTGTTGTCAAAAAAAAATCGACCCCCTCCCCAAAGACTCAACATGGATTCTGAAATCATATATGAATTTTGTTGTATTGGGGTTCCAGGGTCAGCGATGAGTCCAGGATCACCCCCAGACTGCGGACCTGTGTCTTCAGGGGGAGTGTGACCCTTTCCAACACAGGCTGTAATCCCACACCCTGATCTGCCTTACAACTGACTGTCTTGTATGAACAACCATGCTTTTTATTTTTAAAGTTGCACTTCTGAATGCCTGCAAAAGTACATCTAGTTAAAAATCTGAAGGTAAACATCAGATTGGCCAAGACGTCACTAAAGCATGAAGCTGAAAATATGGGAGAATTAAGAGGAATTTGAAAGGTCACATACATTTGACTTCCGGTTGGGCGGCAATGGCGGCTGGCAGGGCTCCGGGGACGCTCCCGAGAGCCAACCCTTAAGCTGCAAGCAGAGGGGTGCGTAACCCTCAACCTTGGACCGGATCGAGTGTCCAAGAGACGCTATCTCCATAGCACCTCGAACCGACGGTCTAAGAGTGGGTCCCCCTCAAGGAGACTCACCAAAGACCCGGACGAGAGGAGGCTCAGGAGCTGCGGCTTGCTGCAGGGGACCCGGCCCCAGGGAACTGGGACTGGGATAACAGCCGACCGTGCGCTATTTTAAAGCGGTGAGAGTGGAGGGACCTGGGAGACGGCGCACCAGCAACTAGAAGTGGAGCCCAGAAAGGGTAAGACAGTTGCGTGGGCGCACAACTCGTGAGGCATCCGTGAGGGCATATGGGCAAACAAATAAAGTACTAAATATCCCCCAAAGGGGAGACTCACAAGGATGCCCTAAAAGCGGACAAGAGAGGATAAAGAGGATAAAGGAGGGAGGGGGACAAGCAAACCCCCTCCCCACAACTAAACAATAAAACAATAAAACAAAGTTGAAAGAAGACTAGAAGCTAGAAGTTAGAAGTCAAAAGGCTAGAAAGCTAAAAAAAAAAGACAAAAAAAAAAGGCTAGAAGCTAAAAGACTAGAAGTTGGGAAATTGAGAAGAGCACAAGAGGCGGAGGAGAAGGCAGAATAGGCGAGGAGGAGAAAACTCAGCCAAACTGACCTTGAAGACGCTCTAAAACTCTCTCTCCAGATAAGCTGCAAAGCTGTAAGGCTGCGAAGCCCCAAACAAGCGACAAACAAGATAAGCCCCAAGGACGCTGGTCCACGAGGCGCGCTCCCCGAAGGTGTCTAAACACCAACAGGAAAAAGCAACCCAAACGGAACTCTGGGAAAGGGGAGAAGGCGGAAGTGGACAGCGGGAGCAGAGAGCGGAAACAGAAGGTGCCTAGAGAGTCAGGAAATTGAATACAACGACGCTAGAGATAGGCACAGAACAGAAAGCTTTAACAACCACATATTGCGAGTCTATTGAGAGGAAAGTTTAAAATGGACAGAGAAGAAAGCAAGTGAGGAGGAGATCTACAGAACGAACAACGAAGAAAGATACATACATCATAACAATCAAAGATAGAAACAAGGGAGAGATAAGCAAGACAAGCAAGAAAGAAGCGGCTCAAAAGCAACAGATTAAGAAAGGACGGAGAAAGCATACATAATTGAGGCAACAAAAACAACAGCAACCAAAGAACAATAAATAAATAAACAAATAAATAAACAAATAAATAAACAAATATATACATTCATATACATACTAATATACTAGTATACGCACACTATACAACAAAAAGGAAAGACAAGGGAAGTACCCCGGCAAGAAAGATCAAGACAGCAAAATAGGGGAATTAATAAAGAAGTGGATCAGAATGGCCAACAAAAAGAATAAACTAGAACAAAGGAGAGGCTCTCTACCAGGATTACTACCAGAAAACCCATTTATACAAACACCTACACCTACACTAACAACCATCAACCCAACTGCTATGGACATACTGAAAGAAATTCAAAAGATACAAGAAAAGTTAGAAGGCTCACAGGAAAAACAAGATGCATACCAAAAGATAGCGGAGGACCAAAGAATGAGCTTAAAGAAAGATTTTAAGGAGGAAATGACAAAATTGAAAAACGAAATCACAGCGGAATTGAGTGAAATGAAAAAGGACATGGACTCAATGAGACAAGAAATGAGAAACAATCAGACAACTATAGAAAAGATAGAAAGGAAGCAAGAAGAATTAACGAAAAAAGTTGAAACCATGGGACTAGCAGAAGCCAAATTGGAAACCAAACAAGCACAATTGGAGCAGAAAGAAATGGAATACTATCTAAGGTTCAGAAGCGTACAGGAAGAGGCTAAAGAGAATCTAAGGGAAGTAATAACAAAAATAGTAGCAGCTGTACTTGAAATACC